CTACTTATTCTGAGCACCATAGATCATCGCAAGCTCCTCCTCCAGTTGCCTACAATCCAGTGAGGCTCGTTGAACTTGAGCATCTAGCTGCCTGGCTACTCTCTCCTGCTTTCCACCCATCAGCTCCCTGCGCAGAGCCTCAAGCTCAACTAGCACCTGGCTCGTACTGGGTCGATTTGAAACAAGCTTCGCAACACACGAGAGAGAAATGTCTACCAGTTTGGAGGCCATGGCATGCGGTGCATTGAGATCCTCGTTGACCACCGACGCACTGTCCCCTCTCTCCACCTGCTGCTCCACCTGTCAAGATTGGAAGGAAGAGAAAGGGGGAGGGTAAGAGAAGGTGTTGGAAGGAGGGGGTGAGAGGACAGGGAAGAGGCAGGGGGGCCAGGACAAGGAGGTAAGTGAGGGGGGACTGGAAGGAGGAAGAGAGACAGTGAGACGGGATATGGAAGGTCTTTCATGCAACAAACAGCTGCCGTGTGAATGGAAAATTTTGAACACAACAAAAGCCAAAGAAGAGGGAACTGTTGATTAAAAGAAAGAAGCAACGACATACCCAGTCCTTGATGTTGATGTGTAATCCATCTTCACACGGCATCACGACACGCTTGCAGGTGAGCAGCTCCATCATCACCACTCCAAAGCTGGGGAGATCAGTGGCGGGGAGAGGGATGGGGGAGGCAGGAGGGGGGAAAAGGGAGGAAGGGAGAGAGGGAGCAGTGTGCAGGACAGATCGGTCGTGCGGCTCTTGGTAATGAAGGCACTAAAGTGAAAAGAGAGCACCTGAGTGAGACGAGAGACAAGGGCATGCTTACCTGGGCAGAGATCATAAGTGGGCAGAATATGCAAGTGTGCACAAGCAAACGCCTTCCCACCTGTACACATCAGCAGTTGGAGTGGCCTTGTGAGTGATTGAATACACGGGGTCCACGTAGCCCGGCGTGCCCCTCACTCGCGTCGACTGCAGTGAGCAGCTGCCTCCCGCCAGCCTCAGCAGACCAAAGTCTGCCAGCTTCGCCTGCAGCATGGAGAAGAGAGAAATTCTGTTCTGGAGAGTGATGCTCATGGCGAAATAGTGACAGAGTGATCCACTGCTTGCCCAAACCCATAGAAAGTTGGCTTTTCGTGGAGAGAAGGCAGCTGCGTGTTGCAGCTGCCCTCCGCCAGCCTCGGCAGACCAAAGTCTGCCAGCTTCGCCTGCAGGATGGAGAAGAGAGAACTTCTGTTCTGGAGAGTGATGCTCATGGAGATTAGTGAGAGTGATGATCATGGAGAGATCGTGAGAGAGTGATGATCATGGAGAGATAGTGAGAGAGTGATGCTCATGGAGAGATAGTGAGAGAGTGATGATCATGGAGAGGTAGTGAGAGAGTGATGCTCATGGAGAGATAGTGAGAGAGTGATGCTCATGGAGAGATAGTGAGAGAGTGATGATCATGGAGAGATAGTGAGAGAGTGATGATCATGGAGAGATAGTGAGAGAGTGATGATCATGGAGAGATAGTGAGAGAGTGATGCTCATGGAAAGATAGTGAGAGAGTGATGATCATGGAGAGATAGTGAGAGAGTGATGCTCATGGAGAGATAGTGAGAGAGTGATGATCATGGAGAGATAGTGAGAGAGTGATGATCATGGAGAGATAGTGAGAGAGTGATGATCATGGAGAGATAGTGAGAGAGTGATGCTCATGGAAAGATAGTGAGAGAGTGATGATCATGGAGAGATAGTGAGAGAGTGATGCTCATGGAAAGATAGTGAGAGAGTGATGATCATGGAGAGATAGTGAGAGAGTGATGCTCATGGAGAGATAGTGAGAGAGTGATGCTCATGGAGAGATAGTGAGAGAGTGATGATCATGGAGAGATAGTGAGAGAGTGATGATCATGGAGAGATAGTGAGAGAGTGATGATCATGGAGAGATAGTGAGAGAGTGATGCTCATGGAAAGATAGTGAGAGAGTGATGATCATGGAGAGATAGTGAGAGAGTGATGCTCATGGAGAGATAGTGAGAGAGTGATGATCATGGAGAGGTAGTGAGAGAGTGATGCTCATGGAGAGATAGTGAGAGAGTGATGATCATGGAGAGATAGTGAGAGACTGATGCTCATGGAAAGATAGTGAGAGAGTGATGATCATGGAGAGATAGTGAGAGAGTGATGCTCATGGAAAGATAGTGAGAGAGTGATGATCATGGAGAGATAGTGAGAGAGTGATGCTCATGGAGAGATAGTGAGAGAGTGATGATCATGGAGAGATAGTGAGAGAGTGATGATCATGGAGAGATAGTGAGAGAGTGATGATCATGGAGAGATAGTGAGAGAGTGATGCTCATGGAAAGATAGTGAGAGAGTGATGATCATGGAGAGATAGTGAGAGAGTGATGCTCATGGAGAGATAGTGAGAGAGTGATGATCATGGAGAGATAGTGAGAGAGTGATGCTCATGGAGAGATAGTGAGAGAGTGATGATCATGGAGAGATAGTGAGAGAGTGATGCTCATGGAAAGATAGTGAGAGAGTGATGATCATGGAGAGATAGTGAGAGAGTGATGCTCATGGAAAGATAGTGAGAGAGTGATGATCATGGAGAGATAGTGAGAGAGTGATGCTCATGGAGAGATACTGAGAGAGTGATGCTCATGGAGAGATACTGAGAGAGTGATGATCATGGAGAGATAGTGAGAGAGTGATGATCATGGAGAGATAGTGAGAGAGTGATGATCATGGAGAGATAGTGAGAGAGTGATGCTCATGGAAAGATAGTGAGAGAGTGATGATCATGGAGAGATAGTGAGAGAGTGATGCTCATGGAGAGATAGTGAGAGAGTGATGATCATGGAGAGGTAGTGAGAGAGTGATGCTCATGGAGAGATAGTGAGAGAGTGATGATCATGGAGAGATAGTGAGAGAGTGATGCTCATGGAAAGATAGTGAGAGAGTGATGATCATGGAGAGATAGTGAGAGAGTGATGCTCATGGAGAGATAGTGAGAGAGTGATGATCATGGAGAGATAGTGAGAGAGTGATGATCATGGAGAGATAGTGAGAGAGTGATGATCATGGAGAGATAGTGAGAGAGATGATCATGGAGAGATAGTGAGAGAGTGATGCTCATGGAAAGATAGTGAGAGAGTGATGATCATGGAGAGATAGTGAGAGAGTGATGCTCATGGAGAGATAGTGAGAGAGTGATGATCATGGAGAGATAGTGAGAGAGTGATGATCATGGAGAGATAGTGAGAGAGTGATGATCATGGAGAGATAGTGAGAGAGTGATGCTCATGGAAAGATAGTGAGAGAGTGATGATCATGGAGAGATAGTGAGAGAGTGATGCTCATGGAAAGATAGTGAGAGAGTGATGCTCATGGAGAGATAGTGAGAGAGTGATGCTCATGGAGAGATAGTGAGAGAGTGATGATCATGGAGAGATAGTGAGAGAGTGATGATCATGGAGAGATAGTGAGAGAGTGATGATCATGGAGAGATAGTGAGAGAGTGATGCTCATGGAAAGATAGTGAGAGAGTGATGATCATGGAGAGATAGTGAGAGAGTGATGCTCATGGAGAGATAGTGAGAGAGTGATGATCATGGAGAGGTAGTGAGAGAGTGATGCTCATGGAGAGATAGTGAGAGAGTGATGATCATGGAGAGATAGTGAGAGAGTGATGCTCATGGAAAGATAGTGAGAGAGTGATGATCATGGAGAGATAGTGAGAGAGTGATGCTCATGGAAAGATAGTGAGAGAGTGATGATCATGGAGAGATAGTGAGAGAGTGATGCTCATGGAGAGATAGTGAGAGAGTGATGATCATGGAGAGATAGTGAGAGAGTGATGATCATGGAGAGATAGTGAGAGAGTGATGATCATGGAGAGATAGTGAGAGAGTGATGCTCATGGAAAGATAGTGAGAGAGTGATGATCATGGAGAGATAGTGAGAGAGTGATGCTCATGGAGAGATAGTGAGAGAGTGATGATCATGGAGAGATAGTGAGAGAGTGATGCTCATGGAGAGATAGTGAGAGAGTGATGATCATGGAGAGATAGTGAGAGAGTGATGCTCATGGAAAGATAGTGAGAGAGTGATGATCATGGAGAGATAGTGAGAGAGTGATGCTCATGGAAAGATAGTGAGAGAGTGATGATCATGGAGAGATAGTGAGAGAGTGATGCTCATGGAGAGATAGTGAGAGAGTGATGCTCATGGAGAGATACTGAGAGAGTGATGATCATGGAGAGATAGTGAGAGAGTGATGATCATGGAGAGATAGTGAGAGAGTGATGATCATGGAGAGATAGTGAGAGAGTGATGCTCATGGAAAGATAGTGAGAGAGTGATGATCATGGAGAGATAGTGAGAGAGTGATGCTCATGGAGAGATAGTGAGAGAGTGATGATCATGGAGAGGTAGTGAGAGAGTGATGCTCATGGAGAGATAGTGAGAGAGTGATGATCATGGAGAGATAGTGAGAGAGTGATGCTCATGGAAAGATAGTGAGAGAGTGATGATCATGGAGAGATAGTGAGAGAGTGATGCTCATGGAAAGATAGTGAGAGAGTGATGATCATGGAGAGATAGTGAGAGAGTGATGCTCATGGAGAGATAGTGAGAGAGTGATGATCATGGAGAGATAGTGAGAGAGTGATGATCATGGAGAGATAGTGAGAGAGTGATGATCATGGAGAGATAGTGAGAGAGTGATGCTCATGGAGAGATAGTTTTTTTTTTTTTTTTTTTTTTTTTTTAAGATGAGTATATGCTGAAACATAAGCATACACCATCAAACGGTCGTAACCGTGCGTGAGGCAACAGTAGAGCATACTACTGTTCCAGGTGAGTTATCAAAGGCGAGTTGTTGCATGCCTTTTTCTTGGACCAGAGCGCGGCGAAAGCACTTGTCCACGTCCACCCTTTGCCATCCATCTTGATTCTGCTCAGCATCCGCTTCTCTTCCGCGAAATTTTCTTGCCCCCTTTTCTTTCGAGCTGCCCCCATCTTACGCATGTAGATCCTTGCGTGTAATCTGAAGGCAGACTCCGCCCTCCACAAAACTCTTTGCAACCGAAACTTCTGCCCTCGAAAAACAGCTTCGCATCTTTCCAGCCAGACCTGATGTAGAACCACCGACGTAAGAGTCAGCTCCGGAAAAGCTGATCTGGTGCTCGTTTTCCGGAACAGCATGTCGCCCAGCGAGGCTGTTGGCCGGTTAGGGTTCAGCATGCGCAGGGCACGTCGGAGGGCCGAGGTCACCGCTTGTATCCTGGGGCAGAGGACGAGGCAGTGCTCCAGGGTTTCCTGCTCCCCACAATGCGGACAGGTTGGCTTGCTGCTGAGGAAAGCCAACCTCTCCCCCACCTGTAAATTCAGACCGTGGATCCGTATCAACACATCTCGCGGACGGCTGGGAACAGCCAGAGAGTCTCTGGTTGACACTACCCTCTTCCAGTCAATGTGATTCCCCCAGCGTAGGCCCCACGTCTGCTGCTTGTACGATTGGCTGTAAGTCCCCTTCCAGCCCTCCTTCATCCGCCTCATGGTAATCACCCGCTCCCCCTCTAGAATTGGTATCTGCGGGGAAGAGCCAGCCGAGCACGGGGGTACTGTTGGGAAACCAAGCAGTCTTTGCCAGTGAGACGAGATAGCAAGCAACGCCCTCATCGCCAGCTTCGCAGGCCCGTTCCCTCCGAGTTCTTGCTTCAGCACCTCCATGGATTTTACTACCGCTACGCCGTCTTCCTCCCCTTCCAGCAGATCACCAATTCTCAGCTCTGACAACCCCTGAGCATCCTTTTGACCCCCCAGCGGGTTTGTGGTGCCGTTGAGAAGAACTGATGCATTAAAAACCAATCTCTCCGTTAAAACTTCTTCCCTGCTCCCCACCAGGTTCTTGACGGAGAAAGGGGAACGCATGAAACTTTCCACTGTTTGCTTCCAACGAGTGCTGCCGCTTCCCCAGTGTTTTAACAGCTTCACGTGTGCAGTGAAGGAGTCCACCCCCAGCAGGAGCTTTGCCG